CCCCAAAACCCCAAAACCCCAAAACCCCAAAACCCCAATGACGTCACCCAGAGTTGAATAATCAAGTTAAAAGCGATGACGTTTGCAGATTAATGATAGAATCTTTTAAACCCAAGTATATAAGTTACACATGGACCTTCTTGATCTTCATATCCAAGGTGAATGGGGACATTATAGAGTAGGTTACATCTGGATTATCCAATATCTCTTGATCAACCTCGTAATCAATAGCTAGCATGAAGTATATCAACAGAATTTTGAACTCCATTAAGCCAATTGCTCTTCCTGGACAAGTCCTTGTTCCGAATGTGAACGGACAGAAAGCAAATGGGTGTCTCTGTTTTCCATTAGGAGTCAAGAAATATTCAGAGGAGGGATCGAATCTTTCTGGGATAAATTTCATGGGCTCTATCCATTGCTTTTCGTCATATTGCGCAGCATACAAGTTAAAAAGAACGATCTGGTTCTTGGGGATTAATAAGTCTTTTACTTTAAAGGAAGCCTTTGCCTTATAACCCAAGGATCTCACAGCAGGAGGGTCATGCCTCAAGACCTCCTTTACAAAGCAAGTTAGATAATCCATCTTATCTAGAGCTTCTGTATTCAAAATTTTAGCTAAATCTTTCAGAGAATATTTTCCATTCTGGAGCAAGCTTTCGTTGATTTCTTTTCTCAATTTCTTCTCAGCTTCCGGATGTTTCTTAAGCTGAAAAAGAGCGCTACAGAGTGATTTGGAGGTAGTCTCGTGGCCTGCAAAGAGAATGGTCATAACATCCTTGTATACCATTTCTTTGTCAATTTCACCAGTGGCAAGGACTTGGTTATACACAGAATTACTATCTTGGGATTTAGCACAGATATCTTTGATAACTCTTTCAAATTCGTCACTGTTCTTAGTATTCCTCCTGTTTTCAGCCCCAATGCTGTAATGGACAAGCAATGGGAAAAGTATGTTCAGAGGGTTCAGAGAAGCAAAAGAGCAATCATGAGAAATCTTCATCAAACATTGGTACAAATTGACAATTTCAACAGTCCCATCTTTGTTGGTATATCTTACTTTCTCTAACTTATCTCTAATATCGCATCCATACAAGATTTCTCAAATAATCTCGAAGCTAATTGTATTGGCTACCTCACTCATATTAATAACCTGGCCTTCTTCAAACTCGCTTACTCCTTTTTCACAGTGCTTAATAAAGATTGGTATAAATCTGGAAGCGTGATTGACACCAATAGTCTTAGTAAAAATTTGTCTTCTTAAAGCCCAATATTTTGTAGTTTTTGATTGACCAAGACCTCCAGTTCCTCCTATTCTGCCAAACCCTGTAGTATCAATGGATTCTCTGTCAAGTACATGGGGTACAAGTTTTGACACCTCAGTAAGATAGTCAACATCATTTATGAATACCATATCATCCATCCCAAGGGATCCAAAGAAAGCCTTCTTCTTACCAAAGTCTACAGCCAAGTCACGAAGAAAATGCCCAATGAATTTTCCTTTGGATAGGTATACCTCATTCAAATGCTTGTAATCTCCAAGAAACGGAATGAAGCTTGAAGAAAAACCGATGGTTTCTGAGTATCTCTGGAAGTGCTTTCTCTTCTTATATGGCCTGATCACGAACCAAAAGGCTAGATATATCACCAAGGACAGTGCAAAGAACAGGAAGGTGTAGATCGCTGTCCTCACTAAAGAGTACATTAAGCTCATTTTGTCAATAAAGTACCTGAAACTATTAAATAACCCAGATGTTGTCAATATTTAAAGCTCTCGAGGGGTTTTGGGGTTTTGGGGTTTTGGGGTTTTGGGG